GAACTTTTAGTGAACCCCATTAATTGTAATTCATTCAGTCTTTGTTCTTTCACTGTTATGTTACTTTGTTAATTCATCAATTTCAATAATTTTTGAATTAACGAGAACAATACCCCTCTAATCCAGAAATATTTGCTCTCGCTATGTGTTATCTTGCTAAAAACATTCCACCTCTCTTCATTACTGTAAAGAAGTCATGCATATCCTTCTGGTGTTCATTAAACAATTCTAACTTAACTTTTGTTACCTTTATACATGCATCCCATGCTAAATCTGGAACTATTAGATAGTTTGCTGGATCGATCTTGAATGCTGAATATGAAGCTTTTCTAAATGCCTCAAATGCATCTGCTAAAATTAGTACATCAGTTTTTAATAAAGATGACGCAGCAAGTATGTGACACTTATTTGTCACCCGTTGCAACACGTTGCAACTCCAAAATTTTATAAGCTACAACTAGTTGCAACTAGGTGATGCTTTATTTGTCATCACGTTGCAACAGTTGTCATGTCATCTTTAGTCTTTAGATAGATATCATAATAATTGCCAAACGTTTTACATCCTGTTTCTTGCCAAACCATCCAGACAAAGTCATAATCTTTTTGAGATATGGTATAAATTTTCTTGTGTTCACATTCTTTGTTTTCTTTATATTCATTACAATTACCTGGTTCTTTTTTATGCTTACATTATGACATTTGTATTTACATTTCCCTATCTTCTCTCTATGCTCACATTTTTCTATTCTATAATTATGATCACAGTAATTAAATCCATCTAAATTACTATTAAAATCTTTACGTAATGGGAGCTGTGTCTCATTAAATTTTGTTTTATTATTTAACCATTGATATGGGAAAATTCCTTTACGTGTAAGCAATGATAATAAATGAGGTAAGATGAATTTTGACATAATTGGAAAACATTTGGCAAGTTGTTCTGGTGTTTTGTTTTCTCCCTTTTTTTTATCTCGTAAATTTTCTGCCATCTTAGCTAAACCCAGTAACGAAAATTTCATACTATCTATAAATTGAAGTTGCCTGATTGAGAAAGTAATATATTGTTTAGAATTATTTGCTATGGGCACTATTTTTTCATCTGTCACTTTAGCTATTTCTTGCATAAGATGATGAAAATCATAATTACTCCCATTACAAAGTAGTACTAGAATTTTATTATTTCTGGATTAATTCGTAATTTCAGATTGCATTCATTATGTGATGCTCCTCAAAATTTTCCTGTGATATGATCATGATCTAGTACCCTATTTTTTCCTTCATCTGACAATTGCATTTTACAATACATATATTTTTTACATGCGTTATGTACTTTCTTTTGTTCATCATCTAACTTACCTTGAATCATTGGTTTTTTTCTGTGACATTTTCTATGTGAAGCACCTAAATATTTTTTAGTTTCAGAATAAAATACACGAATTTTATTATATCCAGCTTCATGTAATTTTCCATCACAGTTCCAATACTTATTTGCCATTTGATATTTTTGCCATAATTCAGGTGTCATTTTTTCACATGAAAGTGGATTACAGAGTTTATCTTTAATAACATCTAGATCTTCTTGAAGATTTTCCATTAAGTCTTTTATTATATTTTCTGATTCATGATTAATTACTGGTTTTTGCGTTGTTCCATCTGAACAATGTATTGTATATTCATATAAAACTGCTTTTTGTTCTGCTATTTTTATAGTATTTCCTTCTTTATCTTTTTCCTCTACTTCATTTTCTTCTGCTTTCAAATTCATATCAATTATATAAGGTTTTATTAACATGTTTTTGATATACTTAGGTTTCATATAATTCTTACCCTTTTCTGGTAGAATTAATCGTTGCGATGCTTTATTTGGTACTGGACATGTGGGAATATGCTTTTGTAATAGGTTTAATTTATTATATGAAAATTGTAAGCATTTTCAGCAAAAGTATTTCTTTTCATGATAATTATTCCATTTATGCATTAATTGTATAAAGTCAGTTATAAATATATAATGCGTTTTTAATCCTTTTGATATATCATTTGTATTTTTTTGATCATTTAAATTCTCTTCACCTTCTGTTAAATATAATAAATCTATCATATGTTCGACTTGATAATTTCTTTCAGAGATATGTAATGGATCTATATCTACTTTTATTTTTCTGAACACTTCTTTATATACTGGCCTAAATATATTTATAGCATAATTAGGATTGTTTTCTTCGAATTTATCTATATCATGAAGTGTTGCTGAAAATTTTATATCTTCAAAATTGGTTATATTTCCATATTGTCTAATCTTGCTTATATATTCAAGATGTGTAGATTTTTGTTCTGCTTTTAGTATATCTTCTCTTGCATGGTATATATTAATACAATCTCTAAAATATTCATTATCTTTGAAATTTTGTGGATTAATTAAACCGAGCTGTGACTTATCTAAATCTTCTGGTAAAGGTAACCAACTACTACCTCGCAATGATCTGAATGCGCTTATCTCGAGAAATACCTCTTCTGCTCGAACAAATGATCATCCTGATTCTTGTATTGCTTCATTCTCAATCTGGTCTATAATTTCATTATATCCTTTTTCTATAGTTGCATTGATTTGATCTTCTTTAATCATTTCTATAGTTTCATGCTTGAATGGAAAAGTTTTATATATAGGTTCTGGTGTTTCTGATTTAATTTTCTTCATATATGTATATAATATAATTCTTACCTTTAATTCATCCTTTAAAGCTAACTCGCTTTTGTAAACATTAATAATCTTTTCTTCAATTGATTCAAAGAAATCTAAAAGCTCATTTTCAGCATAGTATCCTTTTGATATGAATGCATAGTAATCACATACTTCACCTTCATTTAAGTTTTTGGCTTTTGTTATCCTATTAATATAGGGATCTATAATTTTTTCAAAATAGACGTTGGAATCTTCATACGTTGTATCATATTCTGAATCACTTGGTTCACTACCTTTATTATCATCTGACTCCATTAAATCAAATCATTCTTTGTCAGTTTTAGGTATAGGCTTTGATTTAATTTTTTTATTATTTTTTATTTCTGATTTTGATAACCATTTTATTAATTCATTTATCATTAAAATTAATTTCTTTTTTTGTTCTTCCTGAGTATTAGAACTTGATCCAGATCCAATATTTGGAATATCATTAGTTAAAAGGTCGACTGCCAGTTCTCTTACCTCTCTTGGCTGGTGTATTGATGAATTTTCATTGAACGAAATGAGGTCACCTTCGGAAATGGATGCTGTGACTTGGTTTTGCATCGGAATTGGATTTTTAGCTAGTATTGCATTTTGCACTAGGATTGGATTTTCAGCTGGATTTCCTACTGGAGCTGGGACTGGATTTTGCATTAAATGCAAAGCTGGTAAACATTAACTTTTACAAAGGTTTCCATTTAAATTCATGTATTTATTAAGATATCAGATTTTACCAGTTCTTATTTCTTGATCATTTAAGTATCTTAACCATAGTAATATGTAAACTGTGTTTTTTATTAATATAATCAGATCTTTTGTTTAAATTAAAATAATTAATTCAGTTATATAAATTTATCAAAATGCACAATAAATATACATGCGAATATATACACAACTCCGGAGAAGCCTGTAAACACGGATGCTGACGTTGTGAAGGATGTCACGAACATTAGAGAGCAAAAAAACGTATTTTATGTAAGATTTATAGTAAGTCAACTTCTTCTGCACCCGGTACTTGTAAAAAATATGCTAAAGAATATTATGTTATGCAGTTTTATGCTTGACAGATGCAAAATATCCTTATTCCGTAAGACTTCAGATACTCGAAAAGTGTCCATAGGGTCAGAAAATCAGCATAAGTTTAATTGATTAATATTGCTAGATGCCATAGCATCCTCATTTCGTGAGATCAAAAAATACACCTGTCACGTACCTAGGACTTAGCTCATTGCTTTGCAATAAATTTTTAGCACTTATTATGGAATAATAACACTTCGTGTCTGTACTTGCTCCGCTAATTATATTTTTTACTATACTCTTTATTAAAAGAATACTTTAAGAATGCTACTGCTTTACTTTGCAGTATTAAAAAAGCTAATTGTTGACTAAATATATAACTAATGCTCCACTACGCTTTGCATTCAGAGTCACTATGCTCCTCCAGAACAGAAAACATTTTAGTAATCAAATAAGATAACTATATTCCGCTACGCTTCGCATTTGGAGTTGCTATGCTTCTCCGGGTCAGAAAGCTAAATAGTAATCAAAATAGTTAACAAAAAAATACACCGAATGTGAATAAATCATCATTGATTTGACGTCGCAATCGAGTTTTTATCATCAAATAGAGAGGATGTGCTCACAATAACAAAAAACTAAATAGTGATCAAATATGATATCAAAAAATACACCATTCATATTTCGCATTCCCTAAAGGTTTATGCTCACAGTGATAGAATGCTAATTAGCAATCAAATAAGATAACTATGTTCCGTTACGCTCCGCAACTGTATCGCTCACACCTAAGATATATACTCCTTAGTATTAGAAAGCTAATTGTGAACTAATCAGATAACTAATACTCCACTACGCTTCGCATTCGGAGTTGCTATGCTCTTCTGGGTCAAAAAGCTAAATAGTAATCAAAATAGATATCAAAAAATACACTACAAGATGTTATATATAAAAAAACACACTGCATATAGATTTATATAAGTTTATTAGGAACATAGTAAAAAAACTGAAATCTATAAAACATAGTAAAAAAACTGAAATTTATAGAAAATGAAAGTGTTTTAAAAATTATATCAGTCTTGTTCTAAAAAGTCCACTATACATATACTCAAACATATAAGAGATCATTAATATAATATTACAAATATGTAAGAAATTATAATAAAACTAATATAAAACTTAAAACTTAAATAATGAAATAATAAAAGAGATTATTTAATATTCTAATTGTGTTAATTTCAAAAGAGTATTATTATCAAAGAAGTTTATTTTTGAGTCATTACTTGACTTGACTAACTTTTCTAAGTTAAAATATATGTTTCTTTTATAAAAAATTATTAAATTAAAACTATTAATAATATTCACAAAAAATTGCTTATTCATTCACTTGATTGCTTGCTTATTTACTTATTTTGTAATTTAATATAAATATAGATTATCTAATGTAATATAAATAAATAATCTATATAATATTTGTAAATAATAATATAAATATGATACAAATAATAATATAAATTATGATATAAATAATAATAATATAAATAATGTAATATGAAATGTAAATATAAAGATCTTAACTAAATAAAATATAAATATATATTCTCAAAATTATCTAATAAGATTAAATATAATAATTAATGTAAAATTCTATTATATAATAATATATTAATCTATAATTTATAGTTTTTATTTTAATATAAAAATAAAAAATATTTATTAATAAATTGAAAACTTTTATATTGTCACCGATTCAATATCGTCAGTTATTCCATATGAAAACACGTGAATAGAAGACACAGTAACGATAAAAGATTGGTCATAATAATATTTGAATTACGTGTCTAGTTCGATAACATTCTACTTCTTTCTTTTTCTTTCTA